AARSYWAWYCCYTAACAGACATTTTTCACTTTGCACACAGACAAAAACCAACCCCCTAATATCATGTAATTAAAAGTGGAATTAAAGGAAGCTCAGAAGTACTTAACAGTGGATTTCTAGGGAAGTAAACAATCAGCACTACGTGTTAGAAACATGTTAAGAAATGTCACCAGGGTCTACCAGCTTCGCCATTACCAGAGCTCCAGGAACGGTTTTCTCAGTTAGTTGACCGAGTACTATGATTGCGTCAAGAGAATTGATAATTTTCAAGCAAGCCTTGTAAAAGTATAAAAGTATAAAGACAAAAAGTTTTGTAACCACATTTTCAGTGCTAAGAGAGTTAGCAGTGAAAAGCAGGGAAAGCAGGGAGCGTGGGTCAGAGCACCGAGGGCTCGCGTGAACGTTTGGAAATAGCTTCCAACCACACTGACTCCAGCGGCATTTCGCAGCCAGTCCCGAGTTTCTCTGGCGCAGCTGTAAAACACACAACCTGAAACCCGCTCCTGCATCAGGGATTCGCTCGCAGCTGTTCCTCTGCCTCCCCCGCACGCAGTAACCTGACTCCTTTCCAGGAAGGAGCTTCTTTAATGAAGCCACATGGAAGCAGCATAGGTGTWTCGGGGAGACCCAGAACCAGGCGCTCTACGAGTGGGTCTCCMGCATCCGAGCCCACAAGCTCAGCCTCACAAGACGCGCTGCAGGGGCAGCGCCGGTGAGCTCAGCCCCGCCGCCGAGTCGGGAGCACCAGGGCGGGGACCCTGATACCAAGCTCCCACCTCAGCCCCGCACGGCGGCTCCGGGCCCTGGCCCCTCTCCCGTACTTGTTGCCCCCGCAGAGCGGCTCAGCACGACCACGCCACCCCCGCGGGGACCCGCGGCGCCGCTGCCACTGAGGGAGGCTGAGCGGGGCTGAGCCGCCCGGTGCCGCGGCGGGGCAGGGAAGTTACTCACCGAGCCGGCTCCGCGCCTCGCTCTCCTCCTCAGCCGCGCCGGCTGCGCCCGCCCCGCCTTGCGGGAAACAAACTCCGGGCAGCAGCACTTGGGGAACGTGTCTCGCCGGGCCGGGCCGGTGGTCCCGCCTCCACCCCCTGCCGCGGGCAGCGGCGCGGCCCAAGTGACAGAGGCGCTCCGCCACTCCGGCAGCGGCCCCGGGCGCGGGGCCGGCCGCGCCGCAGCCTATGGCAGCGGGGCCGGGGCGGGACGCGGCGGAGCCTCGGGCCGGGGTGTCCCCGTCGCTCGCCTGATCGGCCGTGCGGCGCYCGGCGCGGTGGGGAGCGCGGGCGGGGCTGGCGACGAGGAGGGGCCGGGTGGGGCGCTATCCATCTAGGGTTGCCCGCGGACCTGTCTCTGTCTGCCCGACCCCTGCGGCCCTGCCCGGGGAGCAAAGCCCGGGGCGTTCCGTGACTAACAGCACCGGCGGCGCTCCCGCCTCCGGGCGGTCACGCCCTCCCCATACTCAGTCACCGCCCCGAGACCCGTTCCCCCGCCCTATCGGAGGTGCATGGGGATCCTGCCCCTATAGGGAGCGCACCGCCCCCACTCTCCTTTTGGCAGAGTGCGCGACCACCAGTGCTGCAGGTGCCCGGCGGGGTGTGGGGGGGCCCCGCTCGCACCGCCCTGGCTCCTCCCGCCGGGGTCCTCGCCGTCCCCTACGCCCGCCCCACTGCCCCGCCCCGCCCGGCCGACGGCGGGTGATGGCGCTGGCCTGTGCCTGAGGAGCYGCAGCGGGGGACGGCGGGGGAGCCATGGAGGAGGACCCGGAGCTGGAGAGGTGAGGGATAAGCGACGGCGTGGGGAGCGTCCCGAGAACGAGCGGCCTCTGCGAGTCTGCTGCGCCGCTCAGGGCCCGGCAGCGCCTCCCGCCCCGCGAGGCCCGGGCAGCGCTGGGCTGGGATCGGCGGGGGTTGGCGCCGGCTGTGGGGCGGCTCCTCCCGGCTCGAGTAACCCGCGGTGCAAAACTTTCGGGGTGCGGACCCCGAAATCCGCCGGGATCAGCCCGCTGTCCCCAGAGAGGCCCTCCCGTAGGCTATGCGGTGAGGGTGAGCCGCGAGGGGAGCACGGCCTGGAGTTGCTTCCGCCGTGTCTTGCGCACGGAACTTTGGGTGTGTGCTGATACAACTTGGAAACAAGATGGGAAAGTCTTGAGTGATTCACCCCTCATCAGTTGCAATTCGATCAGTTGTGTACTTGTTAAAGTAAATTTTTAAAATCCCAAAGCTCATTATGTTGTTAGGAATTTCAGTTTTTAGTGCTGGAGATGTGCCCGTTGACCAGTTTTTAAAATTGCTCTGTTCTTGAGTGGAAAAATACAAAATGCTTGGTAGTTATTTTGTCAAAAAATAAAATTGGTTTCTGCTTGGCATTTCGTTGGGACCAGTGGATTCGTCTCGCTGCACGTTTTGAGTTGCAATGCTCCCAAGCAAACACTGAGGAAGAAATTATAGATTTCTATATTTGGATACTCAGAGTAGGCCTCTCTTGCTTTATTTTAGGAATAGACTTTTGGTGTTTATATCACAAACTTTTTTTGCAAAATAGTCCTACTTGTATGTTTGGATTTTTCTTTTTTTTTTTTTTTTTTTTTTTTTTTTTTTTTTTTTTTTTTTTTTTGTTCACTTTCCTTACGGCTGTTTAAAGCAACTGTTAGGATGAAGTGATGACCAGAAGCTTTCAGAACTGTTCTCCTCATGGTTCTCAATTTTAACTTTTAAGAAGCTGTGTCTGAAAATGCTTAAAGAAAATAACTTTTTCTAGTTTATATCTGGCATCTTTTTGAAAATGGGCCAGAAGCAATAGCGCTGGGATAGTGGAAAGGCTAGAGAGCATAATTCTTTCTAAGAGGCTTTTAATTCTTGCTAAGCTACTTCTGCTCTCAGATCATCAGTTTAATAATTAAAGCTTCTTTCTGTGAATGCATGAATGTTATTTTCACTAGTGCCATTCCAAACTTAAATCTTTCTCGTTCATGGCAAGTTGAAAGTTTGTCASTGTTCTTTCATGCTGGCTTCTGGTTGCTGTTGCCATGCTGGGGACTGCGATTCTCTAGGCAGTTCAGGGCATAGCCGCTCACTTACCAGCTACAGCTGTCTGCTCCACAGTCTCCTCCTGATTGATGTGCTTCTTCCCAGTAACTACATTCATAGTTTTACCCTTACTTATAGGTTCAATCCAAGTTGGGATTTGCTATTCCTATTCCATGGCAGTGTGGTAGATAATGAGGATGAAGCTCAGTGTCACTTATTAGTGGTACACAGTAGGGTTTAGCTGTCTGGCGTCACCAATCCATGTCAGTCTTCACCTGAGAGCGTCTTTAGTCAGCTCTCAACACATTATAACTCCACTGTAGTGCACTTGATGATTAACTTTTTCTGTCCTGGATCCACTCATCATTAGTTACTTTCTCATACCTGCAGTTTTCATAACAGCTCACTATGATAGTAGCACCTTGATTCAGTTTGTGCTATGTGAATTTAGATGTCGTACTTGGGTATCACTCGCTCCTTATATGCTTCCCTTTACAATCTTCAATGTGGACCCCTTCCAGTCTAATACAGACCTTTCTTTATCCTTTGGGTTGCAGACATTATTCCTTAGATTCGTATTCACCAATCTGTTGGATCATGTTCTCCTGTGAATAGTATAGCAGTCATAGGTTAGGTTTATAATTTCTAGTAGTTTTATAATATGGCTTTAGCATACAATTAATGGTGTTTCTGTTGTGTAGCCACTGTTAGCTATTTTAGGTATATTTTTTGTGTTTAAAATTCTGTTTATGTGGAATATTTTGAGTAGTCTGTCTCTGAATTCAGGCTTGTCTTGCAATGTACAAGTCTTAAATAAAAACTTAAGGTTTTTGTACATGTAGTTTTTATTTAATTTACCATGAGGGGAAAAAAMCCTGTAACTATTTTTGTGCATGTTTTTTTAGGCCAGAAGTGAATTTTGTGTCCCAGTRTTCCAAAAAGTGATTTTTTAAGTCAGTCGCCCTATTTTTTTGTTATTATCTAAGAAGTCTCTTCATTTTACTTCCTTTATTTCATCCTTACTGCCACATTTCCTGATATTATTTTGCCATTTTACTGTGTCTGTCTCTCCCTTGATCTTGGTTTTGATGTTTTCCTCACTTTAATATGAAATGAAGTTTTCCTAGAAAGCTGAGTACTGACTTGTAAGTTCCTGTGTGACCGTTGCACACGGATTTTAAGAAGCTAAGGGCTGTAAATACTACAGGTATGTAAAATAGTAGTATATGCTACATTCTACTGAATTACGTCCTCTGTTCCTTTAAGCCCCATAACCTTTAATGGAAGTATGAACGAAGTTTTCTACTGCTAACTTGCTGGTACATCAGTGAAGACCCAGAGTCATGAGGTTCCATGAGATTCTTAAGAAAATTCTAAATTCCGTTAMCATATAATTAGTGACATTGCAGAGTTATGACTCAAGAAGGAGGTGGAAAAAGTTGTGAATCAACTAGTAGGAGCTGTTCAGTTTGTTTCCCCTGCACCTCTATGGGCTTTTCCTAGTTTRTTTTAACTAAATATCCACTGGGATGTTACAGAGGATACCATTTTCATTCCTATCTAAAAAAAAAAAAAAATTTCCCCCTCTCCTTCCTAAATTATTGTCATAGTGGTTCCGTGTGTTTGAAGAATAGAAGATGCATCATTTCTCTTTGAAATACTGAGGAAGTATTCAGTTATACTGAATATTTGTTATACTGTGTGTCCAAGTCCTTCCAAAATCCATTCTATCTGTCAATAGCTACAAATATTTCACAATCTTGGATATCATACTTTATTAGAAGTGCCTGTCAAGCTTGTTTGGAGCATCATTTACTTAGGATTAAGTGCTTCCTGAGGAGATGCTGCTCTGAATCACAAAGAATGCTGTAATTCTATAACAAGAGGTCTATAGTTGAGTTGACAATCAGTAATCTAACATTTTTGCTGCACAGGCATTCCAACAACACTTTCTAATAAGCAAGCTTTGTGCCTCGGAGAAAACTGATGGTTCTTACTATTTTAACAGTTAAAACCAAGTGTCAGGAAAAAGTATTCCATACCCCAGAAAAAAAAAAAAAAAAAAAAAAAAAAAAAAAAAAGTGGTCTGCAAGCTAAGATCAGTATTTGAAATGGAGTGGTATGTTCACTACTCAGGCTGGTGAGAATATCAGCACAGAAATGTACTGCAAATAGCACTCATGGGACTGACAAGTAGAATACTTAAATACAAAACCTGATCAACAAGGAATGAGAGCATTCACATCCCTGATGTGGAATATCTCTGAACAAAAGTTAGGAAGCCTGTGGCATATTTGTGCCTCTGAACAAAAGTTAGGAAGCCTGTGGCATATTTGTGCCTCTTTTAATTCTTTCTCTTCTAGTTGTAGCTTAGGTTTTATTCTTGACTTTCATTTTTATCCGTTTTCTGAGTAAGGGTGAGCAGATAGGACCAGCTCACGCGAGTTAATTTTAAATAACAGTGTCAGTGTCTTCAGTCGCTTGTTTGACTGAAGGTTTTGATATTAAATATTCAGCTGTAATTGGAATACCAACATTCACTTCTATTTCTAGTCCCATGCACAGTTAAAAATAAGTTGTATAGTTAGCATAAAACTGCTTTGAGAAAATTGATTTTTGCTAATTGTTTTTCCTGAGCTTGCAGGTTGCTGTCAGGACCTAGAGTGCCTCAGGAGGTAGGCTTAAATGTGATTTTTGCCAATTGCAGTACAGAAGAAGCTTGGTCTTTGAACTTCAATAGTAGTGGAATGAACTGCAAACAGTTATTAATGCTCTCATGTATTTGTTAAAGATGTCCTTTCTCCAACTGGAAGATACTGAATGTGGGCACTGCCCTGCTACTCCAGGTCTGTGCACTTCTGTAGCTGACTGTGTGCTGTGAAGCAATTCCAGTAGATGTACTTTCATTAGCGTTCTCATCATGATCTTTAATGAGATGATAGCATGGGTGGAGATGGCAGAGTTTGTTAGGTTATGTGCCAAAAGCTCCTAGTGAGGACTACAGAGAGACCATGATKGATGTAGAAGCCCCATGTGTCCCTGCTGCCCGGCCTTCTTAGTGAGGTAAGGAAAGAAATCCATGCTTTGCATTTCAGCTATGGTATGGTGGTTACCCTGGTTTACTGTAGTGTTGATTCACTCATGGCTTATTACAGGATGTGTAGGGGAGGAACTAAAGACAGGGAAAGTGGGAAGTTCAAGTGCTTTGGGAGAAGTGAGACTGGGAAGATACAGAAACAAGGGGATGAAAAGGTCTGGTCATGTGTGTATAGGCTGCTGCTTGGTACTCTTTGTCTGGTCATGCCCTATGCCTAATCATCACAGTCTGTCTTGTCTTCCTGTTAAATTCCTTTCTAACTCTCTTGGATGAGGGCTCTGAGGAGAGAGGGTTTACATCTYAGTGCTAGCAACTGCAGTCAAACTGTGGGTTGGAGGGACCATGTGTCCATGGTGCCAGCAACTGGAACAAGTGAAAGTCTGRATGCCAGTAGCTGGGCTCGGACCCTGGGTTGGAGACCTGGGTGCTAGCAACTGGGGACCGACCTTTCATGGAGTGAGTGAAATCAAATGTTAGCCACTGAAGTGGGATTGGGGATTTATTTATCTGCACTGTATGGGGCAAGTATGGGTGTATGATGGACCATGTGGCTGCTGGTGAAGATCAAGCTGGAATAGCYGGTAAGTGGGTGAATAAGGAGAGAGCTGGAGCATGAGCTTGTATCTCCAAGACCAACACCACAGGAGGAGTTAACTTTTTGGGTCACCRGGGAGACCTGGTCAGCTGCTGAAGAGCCTGTGGAGTCAGGGGCAAGATGTGTATGTGTRCCTGTGTGTCTCTACACCCAAGACTGCAGTGTGGGTGGATCTTGGGGGACCAGGGTATCACAGCCCTGTGTGGTGGTCTGTACCATCAAAGCAGTTGGGCTGAAGATTTGGGGACTCCCCACCCAGCTGGAGAGAAGAGCAGGATGAAGCTGTTGGCATGAGCATGCTTTGTGTCTATGGGGCCAGCAGTCTAAGTGCACAATGTGTGCCSCCTAGGAGTAGATTTGCTGTCTTGCTACTGGCTGTACCTGGATGTGGAGCTGTGCTTGCCTGGCCTGTCAGCTGTCAGATCCAGCATGATATATCTTCTGACAGTCGTCTGTAATCACAAACATTGGGTGGTCTCTAATAATATGGTGTTTTCATTGCCTGTAACTATCAGACATACCTTATTATTACCAGTTATTCATTTTTTCAGTCTRTCCATTTGACCTTTTGGAAAAAAATGATGAAGCTCTTCCCAAGTAAGGAATAGAAAGTATTTCTCACTTTGCCTGACTAGGAGCCTTTMACATTATCCTATTCTTTTGACACATGCTTTTGTGATACTGGTTATTAGGATGTATGCAGTGGGAGCTTTGCCTGTAACCTTGGAATATAGAAAGAGGAAAAATTCTAATCCCTCAGAAATGTAAATAGGTCTTGTACCATACTCTTGAAGATAAAAATATCACTGCTTGTACCTTCATGTTACTGTAATTCTGCAGCTTGATTGCCCAAAAATAATTGCCACAGCAAGTTTTAAGTGGTGCTTGCTATAAAAGATATCAGAATGATGGCAGGGTTTTTAAATGTGCCTCTGTCCTCCGGTCAGTCCCCCAATATTTGGATGGTTCTCATGTGAAAGTTGCATGCTGCATTCCCTTGCCTCATGCTGCTGCCCTTAGAATTGAAGCTGGCAGCCACAGAACTGTTTGTATTGTAACCAAGCTTTAAAAATGAAGAAGTGAGGAATGTGGAGTCCTACGAGGCCTCTAAAAGCAAATTTTAAAAACTTGTTTGTGTAGCTTTTGGCTTGCTTGTGTAGAGGATATAAGTTCGGTGAGTGGAAACGCATTATTTCAAAGAGGGTTTGAGCACTGGATTTCATTTGTCTGGGCAAGCTGAAAGGGCTTTGTAGAGGTGCAGTGAATAAGGGTGATGTTGAAAGAACAATACTAGGAAACAATATTTGATAATGAAGGTGTGGACCTAGAAGGCTGCTAAGATGAATGACTGACTGCTAAGTCAGTCTGAGCTTTGAAACAACAAAACAAAGTCTCAAATACTTCAAGACGCATAATTCCTACCTAAGTTAATAKAATTGGTGTCACCATATTAATTTATTATTATGTTTTTTCCTAAGACTGAATCATAACGGTTTAAAATACCTATGTGTTTTTTATTAGTGCTATGTAGCTCCGATTCTTTGGTTTATTATTTCTGTTATAAATTGTGACATTTTATAGCACAGTAATAATGACAGGCTTTTAATCTTTTAGTCAGGTTTCTCAAAAAGAGAATCACCGAGTCTGGTAACTGGTAATTGAAAAGTCAGACACTTTCTTCCCCTCTTTCCTCACTTTTGTTTGACATTGCTGTTTGAAGGCTCAGGGCAAGCTTCTATGAAAACCGTGTGTTCTGCTGTCATCACTATAACCTAGCTCAGGATGCTCAGATAGCAAATTCTGGATCTGAAGAAAGAAAAAAACAYTTGCTGTAGTAGCATGAAGACCTGTGTATGCAACCACTCTCATGTTCCAGTGGTACAACATGTGTTTTGCGCTTTTTTTTTTGTGTTCTTGCAAGTGGCCRTCCCACACGTGCCACTTGTCTTACCTGGGAAGGCAGCAATAGCTGGTGAGGTTGCTGACACTGTGCTTAGCATCTTGGAGGAGGTATCTCTAACAGATGATAGCTTACCTGAGAGAAACTCAGTTTCCATGAGTGCCTATATACTGGGATATACAACTTGTCCTCACAGTCAGAAGTATGCTTAAAAAGGATTTTGAAGTGTCCCAAGCCCTGTTCTTCATTCAGATTACAGTTCTTGTATTTGCAAAAGCTTTAGTTGGTTTTAATATTTCAGAATGTTTCTCTTAATCTTGGTGCAAAGGAATCTGAATTAYCTTAAAGTCAAGGTGATTTTGGTAGTTTATTTTGTTGCTTAATTCACTCAGTGAGTAAAGCTCTATGCTTTATTTGCCTAAGTGCATAAAGTGGCAAGTTCTTGTATTCGGCAGGTGGTGACCAGTTTCTTTTTCTCTTATTTAGGAAGGCTGTGGAAGAGTTACTTAAGGAGGCAAAACGTGGGAGAACCAGAGCTGAAACAATGGGAGCTATGGGTTGGTAAGTCATGCAAAGAGGAAATGCTTGCTGGTGCCAAAATAAATCTTACATTTAATATGTGACAGAGGTCTTTACCTTTTTATGTGTTTCATGTTTAAATAATTTGTCTTCATCCACGTATTAATTTGGGGGGGGGGGGGGGAAATTCCAGTCTAAATAAGAAAGAAGTTCAGGTAAATTCTGTCTGCGTGAAATTGTTTGTCTGAATGTTTTGAAGGCAAAGCAATTTAAAAATTTGGAGTATGTTCTTACAGTAGAAGAAATTGCAAAGTCAGGGTTGGAACCTCATGAGTCTTTAAAATGCTAGTTGTCTTCATTGTGCATGTGCTTACCTACTGGTTACATATTACTGGGTTAGGCTCTGTTCTAAGTGAAAAGAATTCATAACCTGGCAAAGAAACCTAAAGCCTTACATAAATAAAATAACAAACTACCCTTTAGTAGACAGTTCATGTGTAAATTGTAGCCAAAAATGAACTCGGTGAACTCAAAAGTATAATCCRGTTTTGGAAGAGGGTTACTTTTTAATACTAAAAAACCCCTAAAACCCAGGGGCTAATTTGTACAGCAACGGGGGAAAAAATCACAGTATTTAAATCTTAAATGAAATACAGAATTAATGCTGTATTCCAGATTTTATTGCTAGATTGCCATGGAATGTAATGCATGTAATTGTAATTAGAGAAGAAATAACATGCTGAGGAGAGTCATTCATCATAAAATGATGTATGTGGCTCTTATAAGAAGCTGTTGGATCTAGGGATGTTCACACAAGCAGTGCACCAGTTGACTGCACTAAAACTCACTTGTAGGTAAGGTTTGGCTTCCCCCGTCAACTGTAGTCAGCGATAAACCTGCATTGTGCATGAAGTTCTCAACTCAGTTCTTGTCTGTTTTAGTAGCTCTGAAGAGATTAAAATGCTGAAAAAAGGTATTTCTTTATGTTTTCAAACAGAGTGGTGGTTTTCTATGTGTTATACTCAGTATTTCTTCTAGGGATGCAGTTCATACCCTTACTGTTAAAATCGCTTAATTGGCTTAATCCCTCAGAGTGGCTATAGCTGTACTGATTCACTGTGCTTTGACCCTGTCAACCTAACTGTGTGGCCAGGTAACCCAGTGCACATAATTAGCACCATGAAGTGTTGCATGCATCCAGTTATTGCACATTTGCAAGTCGATTCCAAATATGGAAACTAAAGCTTTCTGCAGGGWGATAATCAGGTGTATAGTTTTGCTGTACAGTTTTGCTGCCACTTGAGCAGCCTGGAATACCTGCCAGGAGAGTGTATGGGCATCCACTCCTGAGTGTGGCTCCTTCTTATTCCTTGTTTGTAAAAGGGTAGTGACACTGTTCAGTTTGGCTGCGATGATCAGCTTGGGATGCAGTTTGCTAAAGCCTGGTGCCCAAGACCTGTCAGGGGATGGGATAGTCAAGGGTGACCTGTTTTTCAGAGCAGTTGCAGATTGATGGCTAGGCCAGGGTTCTGTTAAAGTGTGGGACGAAAGTATTGTCAAGAAGGCTTCCGGCGGAGGAAGACTGTTGACATAGGGATTGGCATGGTGATAGCCTGAACTGAGACGGTTGAAGTACTTTCGACAGCAGAGGTACATGAGAAGAGCTATACCAGGTAAAACAAAGGATCCATCTCTGCAGTGCCCTGTCTCCATCAGTGGCCCATACCCAGTGCCTAGGAAGTGCTTTGCTAAATATCTTTGTTTCTGAATATCTTCTGTAGTGCCTTCTAAAAGGTACTTCTACAGCTCAGAATATCATGCTCTCAGAGATGATTTCTTTCTGTGTAATACATCTCCAGGGATTTTACCTGACTGAATTTATCCTTAGAGAGACTGGTAAGCCCATTTGTGACAAATCTGCAGCTGTAGGGTTTGGCATAGGCTAGCATATGGCTGGTGTGTGGCTGTAAGGAAAGTGTAAAGCCCCCCACAGGCAAACTCTCAATAAGTCTTTGCCGTCCAGTTCTGCAGGCACAACAGACAGAACAGCAGCTGCAAGCTGTCACTGCTCTCGCCTCTTTACTATTTTTTATGCCTTGTTATGCTGTTCTGATGCTTCTGAACTGGCCCAACCGCTAGATATTGCATATAGATATGGGTGATGTAATGGGTAAGATATTTGGAAAAAAACTATGTTCAGTTGAATATCACACTCCAGCAAAATGCTATCAAGTGTAACTGATCCTGGAACAAAGTAAATCCTGAAAGGCTTAGAGATTACATCCAGAATGATATGTAAACTTTGCGAGGCATAAACTACTGAGAAGCAGGTAATTGCTGCTTAGAGTTCTGTGGATAGCAAATGAAATGAGCAGGAAAGTTAGTTCATGAAAATGTTTATTAGTAGACCAGATCCAGGAAATCAGAACTGATAGAAGCAAAGACAAGGTCATCATCAAATTTTCTGAAAGCACAATGTAAACAGAAGTAACAGGTAAATTGCAAAACCAACCTTCTTGCCAAACTCAAAAATGCTTACAGGTGTGTTCATGAGGACTTCTGGGATTCCTTAGCCCTTTGTCAGAGGAGTCCTGGAGAAGTGCTGCACAAACCCAGGAGACATCTAGTGTAAGGCCATCAGTCCCGCATTGGCACTGGAAAGTTGAAGCAGCTCAACCTATGAAGAAAAGATTTGTTCTGCCATCTTTCTTTGGGTAAGGAGAAGCAGAGGTTACTGCTGCTCATACTTCCCTGATTCCAGTTTATGTTGCTCTCCAGCAGCTGTTGAATACTGGGAAACAGATTTCTGGAGTCAGTGCATYTGACAGGAATTGGTCCGAGGGAGGTGTGTGGAGAAGTGGCATTCTGGGTGGGGTGACTATATTGTGCATACCATTACAAAGGAATAGTGTCTCCTGGTGGATGTTGATGGCAGCAAAACCTGAGCCAGCAAGCCTCTGAACACTGTTTTGGGACTGCTTTCAGGTTAAAGCCATTGCTCTGTTATGGTCCAGAGTGATTAGTTATTCATAACTCAAGTACACTGTTCAAAAAAGTTCCCTAAGCAGCCCTGCCTAACCTTTTGCTGTCTTATCGTTTGAGATGGATAGTCAGCTGTTGCTGGAGCCTAAAATAAAGTATCCAAGSTAGCTTATCTGATAGGTACAGAAAAAATGTACGAAGCAGTCAACCTATAGCCCAGTCTCCCATACAAAGACTGAGCCTTGAAAAGCAGGGCCGTGTTGTTCGTATTTCTTCCAGTTTGGGAATGTTTTGCTGGTGTTACATTGTCTTACAAGTTTAATGTAGATGACATGGGCAAGTGGTGCAACCTGTGTAGGTTAGAGGCCAGTGGAAGAACGGCTTGTCCCTATTTGGGACAAGTAACCAGCAGGGAGGTTAGCAGTGATACTGGGAAAGAGCTTATGTGGGAAGGGAGATTGTCTGAGACTGTCTGGACATGGAGTAGCTGTCAGTATTGCCAGTGGGCTTCATGATCTCTTGGCTGGTTAAGAGTCTCAGCTCATTGGCCGCTGTACTCTCAGGGCTGTTCAGATAGGCAGTATGTAGGTCCATGATAAATGAATCCAAGAAATACTGGATATTCTTATCTGTAGATGTCATTCTGTAATGCAGTATTTCTAGTTCCTGCAGTGTTCCTTTTGTATGTGCTCTGTGGCCATGGTGATTGTTGTTCATATGATAACTCATGATGTAGATCCTGCTGCTGATGTATGTGGCTCAAGCATTAGTACAGCTAATCACAAATAAGGCAAAGTGTGAGAGAAGGATAAGGAAGAATCCTCTTCTGAAGGTGTCAATCCTGGAAATGTTGATCAGAAGAGAGCAGCAGAACGTGTGTCTGAATCCTAGTGATGATGCTGTGATGCTGGAACTTCTGAATGAGAAAAGGCATCAGAACAGCTGTCTGGAAGCTAACATTGAAAGATCAGTTGGATCCTGGGTGAGAAGTTGTGGCAAAGAAGGACATTTGAAATGGTTAGATAAATTTCTTTGTTTCATCAGAGGCTATTGGACATAGATGGAATAGGATATTTGGGTGTTTCCTTTGTGTCTAGTTAAAATAAAGCCAAAAGTTCAGCTTCCCTTAAGWGTTTCTCTTGGTTCTATGTACATAATTCATAAGCTGCTTTATAGCAGTGAAGTTATGCCCCCTTTTAAGCAGTTGATCTGCTACCAAGAAAGGCAGTTAAAATGCCACAAAAGTTACTCTGTGAAAATAGCTCTAGAGGCCTTTTTTTTCCAGTGTGTAGGTCTGATCTTCAAAGATGCTGATAATGTGAGCTAAAGCTAAATCTAATGTAGTTTCTCATCTTACTTGAAAAGCTTATGTTAAGTAAGAACCAGAAAACAGGGTATTTTTAGATGGTTTGTTCAGCTCTGCATTGTAAGAGCAGATGAAACTACAAAAAAATTTTGGAAGCATTAAATTATTTTTAACTCTATTTTTTTCAAAGCAATCCTAAAATTGCTTTCATGCCTATAGATMGCTTTCTGTTCAATACCAAATCTGTTAGAATTACAGAGGAATACAGAATGATGATGACGAGGGTACTGGAACTGTTAAGTGCTGTGTTGCATCTTTGAATACATGTTCTGTGTGACTGCAGAAACCCTGCAATGTGATTCCCCTCATCTTTCCTTTGGATATGAGGAGGAGGAGAATCAGAGTACAGATAGAGATTGCAAAGTAAATATGTTAAAACCTTGTAATCAGGGCACATCCCAAGTCAAGTTGTCACAGGAACAGATTACCCAGGGAAGCTGAGGATGCCCCATCTCTGGAAGTGTTTAAGGCCAGGTTGGATGGAGCTCTGAGAAAGGTATCACTGTCTGACGGGCTAGGACTCGATGATCTTTAAGATCCCTTCCAAACCAAGTGATTCTATGATCCTGCGAAGTCCTGCCAGATGTACCTGGCTGCCAAGACCATATTTCAAAGCTTTCAGTGTCCTCTGAGACATCCTCTTTTGTAAGGTCCCCCATGACAGGGTAACAGCATAGATTAGTTGGTTTGGGACAACAACCTCCAGCTGCTTCTCTCCCTCCCACTGCCCCTTTCAGTCACTCTTCTACTGAAATATAGTATTTAAATGGCAGTTTGAAAATGGTAGAAATTTACTTGTCAGTTCATCCATAGTRAGCCTTTTTCTTGGAAAAATGGGCTTTACTCTGTATGATGAGGCTGACTCTGCTAATCCTGTTTGGTATGTCCAGTTACTCAGCCGAGACGAGTCTGTGGCACATGGCGCTGTGCTCTTGTGTCTTAAATGGTGTCAGCATGTTTTTACTGTTAAGAATTTTTATAGTACACTTCTGTGTTGATCTGCACTGGTGCACTGGATGACAGGCACTGGTTGGAAATTCTGTGTTACTGCACAGAAGTTGATTTTAAAGGGTCAAAAGAAAGGTTAAAGTTTGACCTGTGTTCACAATGATGGATTTAATTCTTTTTCTCAAAAGGTAATATCATTGTCAAAATGCAAGGCATTGCATTGTCTTGGTTATTGCATTGTGGAGAGGTTTTGGGRGTGTGAGATTTATTTGTGGAGGGAAGCAAGATTCTGTGGATAAGATTAGCTTGGTCTAGCTTTTGGAACATGCAAAGCAAGAAGTGAACCTTACAATGGGTGAATAACAGTTACAGAACTGAAGTCTGGTATGGATGGCTCTAGCACTGCAGTTTATGTGCTTGTCTCACTCATGCCTGCAGCCCTGCTTGAGGCACATTTCAATTCAGAACTTCAGTGTTCTTTTAACTTGTCTGGTTTTTGTTGGTTGGTTGGTTGGTTTGTTTTAAAGCAAAGCTTCTCAAATCTGTTCTGCAGCACCGTTTGCTGGTTACAGCAGTATTGAGTTCCACCATGCCCAGGCTGAGATTGCCTCCCTTCATAATTCACATTGAGGATCAGACCCTACAGCAAACCAAAGGCTGGTCTTCAGGGATGTCAATTTTCTCACCATTAGAGATCTCTCAAAGATACCAGTGCATTAATACAGTTCACTTTTAATCTTTACAATTCCATATATACCATGGCTATATGTAAACRTACTCTTGTGCACGTGTATGTAATGTAGCACATGCCATACAATTTGTTTGCTTTAAGATTTTGCCATACATCTTGTTTACTTTAAGATTTAAAGGCAGAATTTGCTTTGTTGAAGTCTGAGGTCAATAAAACTAACAGCTAATGCTTTTCTTCAGTGCCATGACTTACTGATGCTCCATGAAAGCCTTGTGGCTCACTTTAATAATTGTATTATGGTAGGCTAATGGCATCTCTTAGCTGACTCTCAAGTCCAGCATTTCTCATCAGTTTTTATTCTTAGTGTAGCTAAGGCAGCACTCATAGTGTCAAAAAGAAATAAATGTTTTAGCCAGACAAATTTATTTAGGGCACATTGACTGTCTCATTCTAACATTATATTTATTAGTGCTTAAATCAGTGCATTAGCTCTTAAGAAAAAGCAAGAGGTAGAACAAATGTGAAGTAGTTTTTGCCYGGATGCAGCCTAGAGAAAGCTGCTCTCCTACATAGGAAGTGTTGAGGCGCAATAGTTTAATGCTCGCCTAAGAAATACAGAGGACTTAAAAGTTGGCTGGTTTGTGTCTTGCGTGGAACCTGTGCCATATGTTCTGCACCATATTCATAGGTGGTGTAGCTTGAAGTAGAAACCCTGTTCTACTGACATTTATTAGCTTTGTGGTTTTACTCAGTAATACAGATACTGCATAAATAGTTTCCCTAATTTGCAAAAGTTATACTAGATTAAAGATCTTATTTATTTAAAACCAGGATTTGAGAAAAATAATGTAGATTGATATGAAGAAAGTTCAGAAAACTCTAAAATTCTATGCAATAAAAATGTGTCAGAAAATACCTAGTGGAAATAAAACAGCGTACCTGTATATACTTCTAAAATTGCTCTTTTAAGTTCTTSAAGGATTTAGGACAAGAACAATTATCAGGAATGCTTAATGGGCAGCCCTGAAGCAAAACACTATGGTAAATTCCATCTCCAGTTAAGTCATGAGGTATACTAAATAATCAYATGTGATCTTTGTTGCAGTTTGCTTGTTCTGATAGCTCTGATTATTTAGAGGCATCAAAGGTTTTTTAGTAGTTAGGATATAATTTCTAGACTTACACAAAATATTCAAGTAGAATAGAGGATCTTAACATTGTGGTGTTAGGATTTCGTGACTCTGTGGCTGATTCAGTAAGTGGCTGTGATCTCTAACAGCTCTCCTTTTTTAAAAGTAATCTCATAACTTGTCTCAAAATTTGTTGTGAAGACAAACACAACAGTGACTCCAACTATAAACAAAGTCTTCAGAGTGATTTCTGCTTTCTGTAGGAATATATTCAAATTTGATTTTTCTTATTCTATTCTTTAAGAGATGATTAATTGGGAGTAAGTAGAGTGCAGCTGGTATCTATTTAAGAAAAAGAAATATTTTGCTTTGGTGGTTGCTAAGTATAAGTTTAAATTGGCATGTCTCGTGTATATGTTTATGCTACAGTTATTTGGGTTCTTCATGCACRTGTATCTTACTTTCTGAATATCACAGTTCACTAGATAATGCTGACTTTAGAAGATTGTGATCTCTGTAAACCATTCTGATTTGACTTAGAATACGTTACTAAATGTTTAATTTCTAAATACCTAAGTTAGGCACCATCAACCTTAAAATATATTGTCATCCTTTGCTTCCCCCTGCACACACTTTTTTGTGAAAATCATGTGGATTTTCAATGYGTTGAAGTAAAATAATTTTCTTCCCATAAAGAGTAAGACAAAAGGAGAATGGAGATAATCTGGAACTTATTTTTCTGTACTGAGAGTTTACACTAGGTGGCATGCAAGGAAAGCCAAAATCACAAACCTGTCTTAAAATCTCTGAAGTTAAAATCTCAGACTTGTTTTTGGGATGYTTTTGCCTTCTCTTTTGATCACTTTTTAATGTCTTTACAGGTTGAAATGTCCTCTTGCTGGTACAAATAAAAGGTTTCTTATTAATACCATCAAAAACACATTGCCATCTCAAAAAGAACAAGACCAAGAACGTGAGCAAAARGAAGACAATAAGGAGTCTGAGGCAAACAAAAGCAGGAAAGAAGAAAAACCAAAGAAACACAGAATTCACCCATATACACCCAGCTTTCAGTCCAGACGGAGAGTCAGCTACTCTCCTCCAAGGCACCAAACYAGGAACCAGCACACAAAGGATAAACATGAAAAGCGATCCAGCAGACGATGAGGAGAGTGACAAGTATGTGTTGTTACAAGTGAGGAATGTCATTAAATATAGGAAAGCAGGGGTGTCTCCATTTTTCAASAAGAGTTGATGTTCAAACTTGATTTTTGAACCAAGTTGCCTGTGTGAGAACTAACTTGAGGTAGCTTTAGAAACTTTTCTTTGGGACCTTTAAGAGAAAAGCAAAGTACAGCATAAAACTTTCAGTTGTTTTAGAACAGACATTCCCTTTGCTCCATTCCTTTCTCCACTTCTGACTAATCTTAGAGTCTTGTTGATGGAGTGTGATATGTGTGTCACTGTCTAATACAAATCATTTAGTCATGTCGCTCTTTTAGAAATAAATTTAAATAAAGCAGAATTCTATTTATTGTGTGAGGTTTGCAGAACTTCTTTGCTGCTAACCAATGAAGAAGTTTTGCTTATTTGAGTTAGAATCTGAAGAAGAGAAAGCTGGTCAGTGCCTGGCCAAGCATATGCATTTTGTATAGATTGTAAGAGATTGCTTTCTTTAATATAAAAATAACAAATTTTAAATGGGCAATGCTGGTTTTGCTTTCCAGGAGGAACCCCTGGGAAATACGGATTTTGCTTCTTAATGCGTATTCACAAACCTGTCATAGATAACAATAAGCATTACCCCTAAAAAACTGCAACTGTAATAATTGTCTCCGTTTAGACTTCCCTCTCTAAGGAAGTAGTTTGAACAGTCTGTTTTCACAGTGMTTTCAAAACAAACCCTGAAGAAAAAATTTGCACATTCTCTGTCTACTGCTAGAAAGTTTCCAAGTAAATACGTAATACTAGAAATGCAGAGGTGATGCTTAAACAGTCAAATGCTCACTTTCCAAGCCTGTGTGACAATTCTGCAGTGGTACAGTTCTAGATTTGTGACTTTGAGCGCAGATAATACACTTTGGCATATTCTGTGTCTCACTTCTGTTTGTGTTACAATAACAAACTTCTGTGTGAAATATTTTGTCTTTTACCGTTCTCAGAAATAATTGTTTTCMACATAGGTTTGTTTTTGAATGTGTTGACAATAAAATCGAAAATGTTCATTGAGAAGTGCCCTGTGGAATTTATGGGTTTCTTAACTGAGATGTCTCTCGTCCAAGGGACAGGAAGACTGGGGCTTCGTGGCCTTTCCATGTTGAGTCAGAGCAAGAGTGCCACCTATAGGCACGGGAGCCCCTCGCCTCTCTGCACTTTGCTGCATCTCAGAGAGCTCGTGTCAGCTGCGAGATGGGAAGACCAAAGTGGAGGTCTGCTCCGGCTGGATTTTGGTACATGAACTGGGATTTGCTCTTCCGAGAAGTGGGAAGGTAGTTATACTGGCGTTGAGCCCACTGGAGACTGCCAGGATCAGCATATCCAATGAAGTGGGATACTGCAACATTTTCCCAGAGGAGTTACACACAGTTCCTTTATTTCTCTGCAAGACCCAGAGYACTAAAATAGAACTCTCGGCCTTTCAGAAAATTTACAATTATTTAAGTGGGATCAATGCAAAAGTGGTATCTTTGGAGAAGGTAAGCACTGTCTTCAGTTTAAATAAACAGATGGTGTTTGCAGCCCTTRTTCTGCTGATTGCTGCTTGTGTACTCCTTAATAATCTTCTTGGGAAGGACAGCAGCCATAATACTGGCTGGTTCTGCTGCAGTGACAGTGCTGGATGGATGTGACTTTGAAGGAGAGAATTCATCTCACCACTGGTCAGGATTTGAACTGGAGATGTTCCACAGAAAAAAATTTTGTGAATTCTTGCTGGTCTGGCTTGTGGTGGTAATATGCTGTCCTGAGAGCTTTCAACTCTCAGGCCATCAAACAGCACTTTAGGATAAGGGCCGTTGTTGATGCTCTATTAATTTATGCCAAGCTTTCAGGTAGGGAAACTGGAGCATGCTCTCAAAATTAGTCTGGATTTCTGATAATGCTTGCATGCTGGAAATGCTCAACTAAAGTGTCTGACATGACCTGTACAGATAGCTGGASAAAGCTTGTTTTCATCCGTGGTGGTGGTGGTTTCAGATTTATTTCCACATTTTTCTGATTTGCAGAACATACACAAATTATTAATCTTGGATTGGTTAATTCCATGTTTTAATGCTGTCTCTTGTAAGTGTACTTAATAGAAACAAAATCCTCTGCTGCTCATTAACTGTTCTTAAGGCAATTCTTTATAGAATCACAGAATGGGTAAACTTGGAGCCCAGTGATTTCTTTTTTAATAAGGTTAGTACACAAAGACAGGCTTGTATTTTGTCTGCAATTGCTCATATTGTGCAGCACCAGTTTCATGTTTATAAGGCATCTTAAAGATAGGATTTAACCCTGAAAATTAAGATTTGGACATGACTTCTCCAAATGTGTTACTAGCTGCTGTGCACTTGTTACTTGTAAAAACACCTAGTCCTTAAATAAATACATAAATAAATAAATAGTATGTTCTTGATCTCCTCTTCCCTAGTTACTCCATGGATAGGGAATGCACCTTACCTTAGTGTTGCTGCAGTGGTACTTCACAGGTGTCCTTTTTAGTCTGTGAGCTACCGGTGTTGTCTGTGTTTCGTTTCAGTGCAAATTAAGTGAATAAGGTTTATTCAGGTAAGACCATTCTTTTGCCATAGCCAGAACAATTTGCTCATTAGACATTTTTATTGTTACGGTGGATAGAAATCCTCCAGATGTTCATTTTCATCAGTCTTGTACTGAATGTAGACCACAAAACAGTGTGAAAAAGGAGACAATATTTTATGTAGCCTTCACAAAACGCTTTTATTAACTTTGACTGTCAGAGAGATAGTAACATGCAGTTCTTAGATTCATTGTACAGCCTCTCCTTTTTTGTAAATCCAGTTTGAATTATTTACAATGAATCATGAACATCCAAGAAAAGCCCAACAGATTTCATGTATAACGTGACTTAAAGGCAAAAACAGATCCTCTTTTTTAGACTGGATCAGTCTAAACCAGAAGTTTCTTGAGGTGCAGTTGAAAGTGTTCCTTAGTGATCGTGAAATTTCTACAGAAAACTAGTTAACAAAGGAGATGTAAATGTTTGTAGATCAATGGAATAATGTAGCAGGAGGGGGTTGCTTTTCCTCCACAGAACTGGTTTGGAATTTTTTTTGTTGTGGCTGCAAGTTGATCGCCAAGTAGTGTGTTTCCTCTCCTGTCCCGTTGAAGCTCTCACTGGTAATTAAGCGTTTTCAGTTAATTAAGCTGGAACAACACAAAAKCAGACTTGCTTGGATAAGTAGCAAGAAAACATATCTGGATTGTGTTTGGAGAAGGATTTTGGTCATTTTATTGATGCAGTCACTGATCCACCAAATCTTTATTCATGTGAGCTTTGCACTTGCAAGTAATCCTGTTGTAGCTCATCATCCATGAATAAAACTCCTTTCTGCATTAATATACACTTTGTTTTAGTGACTGTCAATAAGAAATAATCAAGAGTAAATGCTGAAGAGCACATAGCTCCGATTAAAAGAAAGCCTTAAAAATTTTGCCTGCAGAAAGTGCTACTGCAGCRATATGACTCCCATCCCAATATCAATTGTATAAATTCAACTGAAGTCTTGTTTTGGCAAACGTGAGTGGGCTTTCTGCTCTGCTTGAGACTCTGTCTTCTGAATTCTCTAGCTTTTCCTGGAAAGGAGTTGCCTGTGTCTTTTAAAGCACCACACAAGGGATGAAAGTTTGCCTAATTCTAGTCAACTGAGAGTTGCTGGTGGTGAACTGTTGCTTAACTTCAATAATGAGAATATTAAGAAGAGTACAACACATGAAGGAAAACCAAGGCCCTACATGAACTGTTACTGTGTCTCAGTTCTGTATATTAYATTCAAATACAGTTTTAGCAGACATGGCTCCTCCAGACAGTGCTGGGTAGTCAGTAACTCTCTGAACCCCTCCATGCAGAGAAGGCACTTTCTAAGTCCCTGGAGAACAGAGTATATTTCGTCTAGAAAAGTTTGTATTACCCCCTTCTTTCTCTCCTASTGTCTGTTTACTAAGTTGGGGGATGCCCCAAGGAGAGGCAGGTGAAATTTCCCATTCTCTGGCCCTCCACYTCCCTCCCTGTGGACTCCAGCAAGATGCCGTGTTCAGCTGGCTACTGGAAAGACCTCCTTCATGTCAAGCACCTGAGTCGGTCTGGTTAAATAAATCCCTGTGAGAAAGCATAGGCTCCTGGGGAATTGGTTGATACTGTGTCAATGAGTAATCCCTCATCTRGTGTGAATCAGGGAAGTTCTGCTGCCCTGAGCTCTTGCATACATCTTGCCGTCCAGAAGTGCTACAGACCTGTGGGCAGATGTGCAGCTCCTTGCAACATTTGCCTGACAAAAGGACTGAGGATCAGCTATGGAGGAGTCCCTGAGGGTGGCTCTGGGTCTGCCCCATCAACGGGTCTCATTTTGACTTGGATCCCTACAGGAGACTTCTTGCAACAAGGAATGGACCAGGAAGGCACAGCTGTACCTTTCTGTAGTAGGACCTATTGCATCCTGCCCAGWAAGCTCCCTGCTGTCTAAGAAATGAGTTAAACTAGCAATAAATGTCCACTGGAATGAATTTTATCTGAACTTCATTTTCCTTTGCTCATCGAAAATAATTTTCMAGGCATTCCTGCCCTTGGGAAGGAGCAGAGAGCCCCCACCGCACTCCCATTACTTGACATTCACCTCCAGCTGTTGTTGCTAACATTTTTTTTCCTTTTTTTTTCTCCTTTCTAGGTTTTCTTTAATAATTTCATGTCTCTTTCAGTCTAGGCTCCAGCCTGGGAAAAACAAACCTGCTAGCCTGGCGAAAGCCAAACACACGGCCCAATTACCAGCTTCCCCACTGTTCCTTTGGGCTGGCTGGTATTCTCCCTGCCTTTGTTTCGCTGCTTGCTCCCTGCCTCCGAGCAGCTTCCTTTGACTCTGCTCTATGCAGCCAGGCAGAACAAGATCCAGCAGGTAAACTGAGGAAGGGCTATTGTTGGCTGCCCCTCACTTGTGGATCGCTGTGGTTTGTCTGCTGCCAGAGCTTCCTGCRGGCATATACCTCTGTGAAGAGCTGCTTTGCTTTGGAGTTAGGGAAAACACCTTGTTCTTTGCATCTGAGATACTCATGTGTGGGGAAGGAAGCATTGGTGTGTCTCAGTAACAGCACACCAGCTGTTGTGAATCGGGTGCTGAACACGAGGTTGGGTCATGCCAGCTCCGACTGTGCCGTGCTTCTCTGTCCTCCAGCCGGTGCCTTGGCTGGCACTTGTCCTGCCTGACAGCCTTGGGAAGAGCCAGGRAGGATGGATGGCATTGTCTTCGCAGCCGTGCACTCCCATAGCTCTCCTGGAGGAGGGAATGTGTGGGAGCAGCACRGTGAAGACCTGGCCTSGCTGTCCCGTKCCAGGGAAGGATGTGCCCAAGGTTRCTTGTCAGTACCCTTTGGGAGGTGGGCAATGGCAAGGCYCTCAGGGTCGGTGCTCGCCGTGGCAGGGTCTCAGCTTGTGCCTCTGCCARGCTTCCTGGCTGCAGTTGCAGGAGTGTCTACCTGGAGGGGATAGGAGAGCAAACTGTTCTCCAAATGTGCTTCACCAGCTGGGATCCCCAGAAGAGCTCTTCGGGTGACGAGGAGTGCCAGCCCTATGTCCATTTGTCAGGCAGCAGCAGTTTGTCCTCCTGSCCCAGCTACCCTGTCTTGCTGTGAGCTGAGCTCCCCTGAAGCCCAGACCTGGTAATGAGGGCACATGCTGAGGACCAGCTCCCCACAGATCCATCAGTGTCATCCTTCAGCCCCAGGAAAAGGGGCTCACTGGTGGAGCCAAAGCTGTGCCAGGGTCACAAGACTGGGGTGAGGTGGGTTTCTCCTCCTGACTCAGCCGAGTAGTGTAAAGCAGCGAGGTGTCAGTCACACWGCTGGTACCTATCCTGAAAAGCAGGATGCTTCGGGAGCTGCACTGGATGTCCCGAGGCTGAGTACCCCAAATRCACAGCAGCTGTGAGTCTGCTCTATGAGTTAACAACCAAAAATCAACTTTGAAGGCTGAGAACTGACTGGAAGCAAAATAACTTTCCCATCTTTCATTAGCACGACTAATAGAATAGATTCGCCCTGCTCAAAGGATTTACAGTTCATGAAGGATTTGTGTGTGGGGAGGGAGCTAGCAAGGGGAGCACTGGGCAGAAGCTTAGAATTGTTAGAATGTGTCTCCATCTCAGTGTTCAGTTTGTAAAATAAATTCTTCAGACAGGTGCTTGAATTCACAGGCTCTTCAGAGGGAATTTATCAGCCTTCAGGAATAGACTGATTAAGAAAAAAACCCTATCATCCTCAGCTGCAAGGAAGGAAAAGCTAATCATCTAAACTTTARGGCGGGAGAGGTGCAGCTGTCAAAGCAATAAGGTAAATGAGTCTGAGGCTGAAATGGTTTTTGCAGCAGAACTCTGCTCCCTGTTAAATAGGGGAGATTGAACTATAGCACCATTCCACTATTCCCTGGTAATGCACCATTTTGGGGCTGACTGGGTGGTCTTAAGTCCATTGCCACAGTGGTTATATCGCTGATACCAATCAAGGCCCCGCAGCTGAGACCCTGAGTGACCTGCTTCAGCAGCTTTTTTCAAACCCCAATTCACTCATTTGTGTGGGATGCTTTTCTGCTACTTTATTTATGGGATTACATAAATGAGCCATTAAAAATGTAAATCTTCAGAACAGTTGAATAATACAGATTTAAACAATAAGCTCAGGCGGTACAGTACAGAATCTTCCCTGAACCAGCAGTACTGCACCATCGTGGCTATGGCAACAATAGCGGGTTAAGGGAAAGAGAGAGCAAGGAGGAAAATAAAACGTCCCGGCATTGTTACAGTCACTGGCACCACAGAAAGATTAGGGATTTTTTTTTTTTTCAGAGTATTAGAACAATAATGAAGATGTGTCATTATGCACCACAAAGGAGACCATGCCATCCCTCACATAGTGCAGGTGTCAAAACAATTGGGCTGGCCACAGAATTGAGTTTAAGTGAAGTTTGTCCTACCTCACCACAAAGCATTTAACCCTTCTAGGGCTGGAGCCAACTACAGCCATGCCATGGCTAGCCACAGGCTCTTTTCTCGTCTCCTGTGCCATTAGGCATCTGGTCTGAGCATCTTTCCTCATCAGCAGTGGCAATGGAGCTGTACACTATGTACCTTACGAGGAGGAGTTGGCTGATGTTTGATTTGGCTTTCTTTGTACTTATATTAAAATAACTGGTGAGGCAGTAACACTGTGAAGAATTGTACTGAGGTTTAGTTAAGTCCCACGACAACCTTCTGTCTGCAAAGGATAAAAACATGGGAATAGCTTCTAAGCTCTGCTAAGTTCAAAATCTCTGAGATACAATAGCAGTATACTGATTTTCCCTGTTCAGAGGCATATTTTAACTGTCACATGATAACCTT